GACCGCGCGCGCCGCCCCAGCGCGCCCCCCCGCGCGCGGCCCGCTCAGGTCGCAGCCGCCCCTGCGCTCCCGGGGCAGGGCCGCGGGGCCGACCCCGTCTCGGGAAGGGTCTTTCACCCCCGTCGTGGGTCGGCCCAGGCACCACCGCGGGCAACGGCGCCCTGGCCTCGCGGCCAGTGCGACCCCTCCCCGACCGGCACCTCAGAGGGCAAAAAGGGAGGGGCGGCGCAGCGGGCGGCGGGGTGCAAGGGGGGGGGCAGAGTTCGCTCCTCCCCCTCCCCGGCCGCTCGCGGCACGGGGACGGACAGCAGCCAGGAGGCCGCGCGAGCGGTCGAAAGAGGAAAAGAAAAAGGGGGGGACAAGGCACCAGGCATTGGGCAGCCAGATGGCTTGGGGGAAGACCGCCGCCACAGACGCACAGAGCAACGCGGCTGCACTGGGCCCCTGGGCGCGGCAGCCTCGCCCAGCCCTTAAAAGAACAAAGGCCACTCGCAGTCAGATCCCAACCGGATCCAGCGCCACAAGCGGCGGTGAAATTGCTTAAGTCCCCCTGGGGGGCGGGGCCGCAGGCCCCCCACCAGGTCGGGAAGGAATTTCGAACGGGCGCGAGCCTATCGAGTCGTGCAAGGCGCGCGCCACGTAGAGAACGTGGTGCCACCTCTCTTCAGGCGGCGGCCCCTCGCGGAAGAGCTGGTACATGTACATGGCTGCGTGCGATAGCGGCGGGAGCAGGGCGCGAGACTCCAAATCGGCACGCTGCGCGGCCTGCCTGGGGCAGCCGCAAATAGCATGGGCAATGTCCACCTGCGCAGCTCCGCAAGCAGCACAGCGGTCCAGAGTGACGGGGAGACACGGCACGCCAAGGACTGGGAGGGGCCATGCCCCGGACATACGCGCTACGGACCACATGCGAAAGTCGCGCCACATATGTGGCCCAAAATCCAACTGAAGTAGGGCCATCGGTAGCTGGTTGGGCTCGGGGACGAGCACAGCAAAGGACATCCCGAGCGTGGGCAAGCAGGCGCCGGTCGCGCGTTGGAACGCGGCCCGATCGCGCGCCCGCAGGGCCGGGCGAACCACCTGGAGTTTGAAGTCACGCAGCAGAGACCTACGCAACTGCAGAGAGCCCTGGGCGCCACGCAGAGGGTGGCGGAAAGCTGGGTGGACATCGATGTCCAGGACAGGTGGCGTGAGCTCCGCCATGCGGGCGGCGACGGCGCTCGCCCAGGAGGCGCACGTAAGGCGGCGCGCCAGCGCGAGCATGCGGGTGCCGGGGTGGTCAGGAGGCTGCGCCAAAAGACGGGCGCGCGCCATGATTGCTCGCTCGAGCATCCGGGTGCCCAACCGGCACGTCCAGCCGCATTGCGCAACGACCACCTCGCCTGGCACAGGGGGGCCAGTGGTGCACGCCAGGAGCCTCCTAGCCCACGCGGCCTGCATGCGATTCAACTCATACTCAGCCCGATGGGCCAAGAGCAGAAAAGGAGAAGGGTATAAGATAGCGCTCTCGACGCGGAGGGGGACCTGCGCAGAAAGGACGGGGAGGCCGAATCCGCCGCTCTCCCCAGCGTGGAAAAGCGCTTCAAACAACGCGTGGCCGCGGGCCAAAACAGAGCGGAGGAGGGGTTGAAAGGTGAGCTCGGCGTCAACGAGAACGCCAAGCACCAGCTTCTGGTCCACGACGGGGCAGCCCACCCACCCGGGGTCGGGGCTACCAGCAACGGCCATGGCCGCTGTTTTACCAGAGGCGCAATTAAAGTCGGCACGGACAGCGCGGGCAAACCGGCTACACGCAGAGTCTGGCTCGGCAGATACAACGGCGCGGAGGGCGCCTGGGGACGGGCAAGGGACAGTCAAATCGTCAGAGAACTGCAGTGGCTGCAAGTGCTCCGCACCCAGCGCGTCCTGGGCTGCGGCACGATCGGCTTCAGTGGCCCCTCCGCACGCCCACTCGGCCAGTTCCGCCGCGGCTCGAGCCCACGGCGCGCCCTCGCCCAGTGCCGTTGCGGAGACGCTAGTCGCGATCGCCGCGGCCGCGTCGACGGAGGGGGGTGAAGGGGGGCGGAGTGGAAAGGGAGGGGGAGGGTCCACGCCAACTGGACAAGCGCGCCGGTAGACCGGCGGAACCCAGGTTGCACAACCCTGCGGCAGGACAGCCATTACAGCATCAGCTAGCCACTTCACCTCGGCATTAAACACATACGCCGAAAAACGCTTACCTTGGGCGGTGCCGCAGGGCAGCCGAAAAAACTCAGACGCCAGCCCCTGGAGGGCTACAAACTGGATGTCCATCTGAATGAAATCATCCAACAAGAGCCACTCGTCCTCCACCACGCCAGCAAGATACGACGACAGGCGCATGGCATCATGCGAGGCCACATCAAAGGCCCAGCGAAGGTCAGTAAGCGCCCAGTACGTGGGGAGCCCTTGAGCGCCGCGGAGCTGCGCGTGGAGCAGCAGCGCTAGCAACACAAGCAAGGGGTCCCCGACCCCGCCCTGCTGGCCAGCGCCGCAATATTGCGTGAGCACAGAGCGGTTGCGCTGTGTCCAGAGGGCGTCCACAACCGCAGACATGACAGTGGAGATCGAGATGGGCCGGAGGCACGCGACATCACGCACCACGCGGGGGCCCGACTTGTGAAGCGGTGTAAATTGCCTCGCGGACCAGCATGTGCTGGTGAGACCACAGGACCTAGAGAGATTCGCCAACGCTAGCGTGAGGCGCCGGCCCTGCACGCATGGTGACTTAACGGAGGCATAACAGCCGCGTAGCGCGCTGGATGCCACTTTAAATGTCTCTAAAACGTCCGCAAGCTCAGCCATGGAGTAAAGGCGCCGGCCCCTGGTGGAGAGACCGGCGCCAGCACGAGCCGCGCCGCTCTGGCGAACGGCGGACACCGCCCGTGCGGTGGCGAGGCATGCCTCACGGTCATGTGGAAAGTTGTTGGAGGCCCTCGCCTGCAGATCCTGCTCGATGGCTTGGAGCATCTCGTCGGCACTGAATCCCCGTCCCGTGGCAGGGTCGGCGAGTGCGATCTCAAACCTGTCTTGGCCGGCGAAGAATGAGGACAGGAAGCGCTCCGCAGCCCCAGGGTTCAAAGCCCGAAGGTGGAGAAAACGTTGGGCCGCGCCCCTCCTAGCATCCCAGGCTGCCTGCGTGGCCGCTTTCTTAAAAGCCTGGTGATCAGAGAAATCCGCCGGGGCTGGCCCAACGGGCCGGCGTCGCTTGCGAGACGCCGCCGACGTCACCGCACGGGTGACCCCCGCAGCGTGGCCCGCAAGAGTGTATAGCACGTCACGTGACCACGCGGCCACGTCCAGGAGCACGCGGCGCTGGGCGACAGAGGCCTGGCCTCCGCTCCACGGAGGGCGGAGCCACGGCGCATGCACGCACAGCTCAACCGCAGACGCTGCAAATTGGAGAAGCGGTTCCACCGCGCTAAGGGCGTCATCCCACTGGGAATCAGTGCGCCAGCTGACTCGGCCAAAACCTACGTGCGCGGAGCGGTCACACTGGCACGGCATTGACCAGCACAGCAGGCGGTGGTCAGAGGCCACGGCCACGGCCTCCTTGACAGCAACGGAGATCTGTTGGCCCAAGTCCGCGAGGACAAGGTCAATGCACGTGCCAGAATCGTGCGTGGGCACCGGCGGGTTGCACGCGATGAGCGAGGCAGCGCACAGCATCGCCTCGATATCGCGATCTTCCGGGGATTGGTGACAATGGCAGCAGCCGCACCCCGGGCGGTGCGAAAGGACGTAGGACAGATGGATATTTGCATCCCCAGCGACGAGGAACGAGGCATGCGGAAAGCGCGAGCGCAATCGAGTGAGCTCACCAAGGATCGCGCTCCAGGTTTCCACGTCGCCGCCTGGCGCTGGGTAAACTGCGGCAAAGACAAGAGACGGCCCCGACGCGGCAGTAGCGCCGCTCGACGAGGTCCAAACTTCAAACCACTGGACCCGCGCAGACGAGACGTCAGGCAGCGGGCGGACTACCGGAAGCAGTTCGGGTCGCAAGAAAATCCCGACAGCGCCCCACGAAGCAGAGCGTTCGCCCAGCCAACAGTACGGGTACCCTGCCGGCAGCGCCGCACCCGGCGGGAATCGCGCACCGGGGGTGATGCAAATATCGATATTCTCATCGTGCAGAAGCTGCGCCATCGCCTGCAACCGCCAATCTAAGAGCGCGTCTGTGCCGAGGGCGAGCAAGCCACACCGGCCCGGGCTTAAAACGGCCATGCGCAAGGGCTGCTGGCTTGACAACTCCAACGGCGGGCCCGGAGCTCCGGCGGCGTCGGCAGCCAGCACTGGGCCCGCGAACGGCGAGATCACGGGCGGTGAGTCCCCGCGCGCAGGACGCAATGGGGGGGCGACCTCTTCGGCGAGGAAAGCTCGCAGCTGCCGGCCAAGAGCGATGAGAGGCCCAGCCTCGCGACTCCCTTGCGTGCGAAGCTGCGGCGGCGGCTCGGGGGCACAAGCAAGCAAGGCGAGCACGTCACGAAGCGCCGCTCCCCTCTCCAGGCCCCTGGTTTCGACGCCGATCCAGCGGTTCACTAAGTTGCGTAGCGGTGTCAGGGGGGCGTCGCCGCCCCCGGCGAACATGCCTCCGCCCCTGCGCGGGCGGCCTCCGGCGGGGCTATGCACGGCGAGGCCGGGGAGCCCTGGTAACGGCTGCGGGAGGGGTGGCGCGGCCGGCGGGAGGGGGGGAGGAAAGGAAGGGGACGAACGGCGCGGAGCGGGGGGGGGCCGGCCAAGGGGGGCAGACGGCGGACGACACCGCGGAGCGGACGGATCATCATCGTGAGCAACGGGAAGCCCTCGGGGGCCGCCGGAGGGGGGGGGCAAGGGACAAGTCTTACGACCAGTACCCATCAAGGGGCGACGCGGCCCAGCCCGACAAGCAACAACGATGAGCACGATCGACGCCACTATGCATCTGCAGCTTTTTCACTCGACACCGCTCGTTGCAACCAATGGGGTTCATAGGGGATCCGGGGCCAGACCGCCACACCGCTTTGGGTGCCGGCCGCAGTGGGCGGCGGCTGGGCTGAGAAGTGCGAAGCGAGGACAGCGCAGGACAACTGGAAAGAGGCACCCGCCCCCGCGGGGGGCGAGTCCGCGCCCGCTGGGAAGCTATCGCAGGTGCAGGAGCGCAACTGGCGCAGCGGTGCGCGGGCGCACCCGGCTCCGGGGCCGGCGAGGGCACCGCGCTAGGTGCCAGCGCCCGACGGGGGCTGGCGAAGCAACTCGCGTGCACTGAGGCGCTGCACTGGCGCCGAAAGAAGCCCCTGCGCCGAGGCCTTCGGCTCGGGGCCCTCGATATCCGTGACGAGGCCGAAGAAAAGCAGGAGCTCCTCAATATGCTCTTCAAAGAGAGGGCGGGTGGCGTGCATGACAATTCGACCCTGCTTCTTATTCTGCAGCTGGATGGACAAAACCTGCTTGGGTGAATTAGAATACGTGATATCTAAGCCAGGCTGTGAAAAGTCACCGGTCCCAAGGGCGAAAGGGGGCACTGCGGTCACCTGTTTCCCTGCTCCGCCGCGGCGCATGCCGGCCAGAATCGCCACCCCCATCGCCATGACAGCATTGTGGAGGTCAACCTCCGAGTGGCAGCGGGAGGCGAAATAGACCGCGATCTTCGCGCGGCCGTCCCCGGGCTTTGGCCCGAAGGACTCGCGGACTTTGTACAGCCAGCCGGAGACAGCCTCGCGGAGCTCAGCCTCGCTCCCGAGGGCGGCAAACTGGCGCGGGTCAGGCGCCGCCGGGGCCGAGCCAACGGGGTCAAGCAACGGCAGCGCACTGGGGGGCCCGGGGGGGCCCGCCGCAAGGGGCGGGGGAGCTGCGCTAGACAATTGCGGCGCGTGCTGGGGCGCGGCCATAGGCACCGAGAGCAGCGGCGACAAGGCGGGCGGAAGCGCACGCGGGGGCGACGCCAGCGGCGCGGGCTGGGATGGCGACAGGGTCCCGCAGACGCCCCGCACTACTGTAGCCACAGCCGCGCATGCGCGGACGCGCTCCTCCTCGCACGCTCGGACGCGCTCCTGAAGCCGCGCGGCACACGCCGCGTGCTGGACAAGTTCGGGAGGCTGGTCTGGGCGCACGACGCCGGAAGCGCGGTGTAACCACGCTTTCCCACCCCCCGCGCCGACCAGCTCTTCCCAGCCTGCGCGGGCAACTTGGAGCTGCTCGAGCTCTTGGCGCAAAGCTGCCAGCTCAGTGGCGTGGTCCTTCAGGGCGCTCGAAGCGGGCTGCGAAGAGGAACTGGGCGGGAGCGCCTTGACCAAGGGCGCGGTCGGCCCACCTGCGGCGCCCGCCACGGCTGGGGCGCGCCCACCTGCGGCGCCCCCGACAGCCGCGGGAGCGCCGGCCACGGACATCGGGGCTGCCATGGGCACGAGCGCCGTGCCCGGATGACCCCACTGAGTGCGACCTCGATGCTGAAAATACAAAGCGCCGCTGCCCGAGTCACGCCGGGGCTCCCGCCCCGGCGGAAGGGGCGGCGGGCTCAGAAGCGGCGGGCCCGGCGACGCGGGCAGCGGGCTAGCCGGGGGCGAGGCCGCCGCGGCCTTCGGGGTGGCTGGCGCCGCCGCCCCTGTGTAGGCGGCGTCGGCCGCGCTCGCTTTCGGCGGCGGAAGCGGCGGCGGCGGCGGGGGCGGCGGGGACTCTGGCCCAGCGCCGATCCACCTCGTTGGCGGGCTGCGCGGCGGGCTCAGCTCAGGGGGCCCCGCCGTAGCCGGGGACAGAACCGCGCGGCCCTTCGCCGCCGCCCCCGGGAAGATGCCCCAGTCGCCGGGGGGCGGCCCGGCCGGGAATGGGCACGGGGTGGCGGGCTGCGACGGAATCAGGGCGCCGAGCGCAGCGCTGAGGTCGACCTCCGAGCCGCGTGGCGAATGGTGGCTGTCTGCCACGGGCGTTGGGCTGCATTCGCGGTCACGGTCATGGTCACAGTCCCGACCCTGGTCATGGTCCCGATCGCGGCGGCTGCGATCGCGATCACGGTCGCGGTCCCTGGCCTGGCCCCTGTCCCGGTCGCGGTCGCGACCGCGGGAGCGGTCGCGGTCTCTGTTCCGGTCGCCATCGCGGTCGCGGCCGCGGTTGCGGACTCGGTCCGAGGACGGCATGGCCGCAGCACTGGTTCCCTGAGCGGGCACGGGGGACCCTCGGTCCGCGCGGTGAGCCTTAGAGCCAAAGCGCGTGTACATGCGGAGGCATCAGCAGGGGCAGGAAACAAGGACTTCCTCCCCGTGCGCGCCCAGCGTGGGCGGCTGGACAGCAAGTACGAGGGCGGGGAGGGGGAGAGGGCAACGCATGCTAGGGTAACTTGCACTCCCGCTCACGCTCTCCACGAAGCCCAAAAAGAGCCGCTAGATATCATTATGAGGCACAACACCCGCGAACACCCGACAAACCCAAGGCAGCCCCCCGCACGCAGCACGGCACGGCACGGCAACAGCACAGCGAGACACGACACAACCAGAACAACGCCCACGCGGCCCAGGCACGGCACGGCACAGCCGGCGGGGGGGCGGCGGAGAGAGCGCGCAGCCAGGGAAGGTAAGAATCAGATTGGCAACCATGCGCAACCTCCAAGCGACACGTGGGACATGGGAACATGCTGGAAGCAATGCAATGTCACATCAGCCAATCTCTCCCTTTGCTGGCATAGCTCCATTGACGCGACGACGGCAATGGGTTAAGAGTAACCCTTCAGGAGACGGGCGTAAACTGAGGCCAATTGCATCGACCGCACAAGCACCATGTACAGAAGCGAGAAAGCCAAATGTGGACAATTTCATTTAGATCACCTGGGGGGCGGGGCCGCCGGCCCCCCACCAGGTCAAAAGGAAAAGCGGGCCCCAGGAACAGGCGGGGCAGGGGAGGCGGGGACCCCGGGGCCGCCCGCCGGAGACGGGGCCGGGGAGGGGGGCGGCGGCAGGAACGCACAGCGTACGGATTACAAGCTCCATTGACACGACGATGGCAAGGGGTTAAGAGCAACACTTCAGAAGTAAGCGAAAACTGAAAAACAATTGCATCGACCGCACAAGCACCATGCACAGAAGCGAGAAAGCCAAATGTGGACAATTTCATTTAGATCACCTGGGGGGCGGGGCCGCCGGCCCCCCACCAGGTCTAAAGGAAAAGCGGGCCCCAGGACCAGGCGGGGCAGGGGGGGCGGGGACCCCGGGGCCGCCCGCCGGAGACAGGAGGAGGACAGGACAGGGGAAGGGTGCTTTTGCTCACCCGCCAGCCTCGCCACACATCCTAAGCCGGGCACGTCTTATCTCCCCCTTTCCGACGGCAAGTGATGCAACAACAAGCAAGTAGACAAGAAGGGATGAAATGCAGCCAAGCTGTGCATCACTCCATGCTCCGGTGCAACATTGGAGACCATATCAGCAGATGACGTAGATGTCCCGCGGAGGTTTCATGGGAGAAAGGCCAAGTAGCTGGCGCAAGGCTTTTCGGCCCTCGCAACACATGTCAGACAGGCACTCTGGCAATGCCTCCCAATGGTTCTTGTGGTGCCCGCCACCCGGTCTCATGCGTACAAGGAACGGAATGCCTTCGGGAGGAAAGTAGCGGAGAGCCACCTTGCGAAATTTCGGCCGCTCGGCCAGGAGAAGTCGCTCAAGGTCTCGGGTCGAAAACCCGTCAGGCGTAAATCCAAGCACTTACTTCACTGGATAAGAGCCTCACGATGTAATCAGAGCCATTGCCCAGGGCAACAGCATCATCTAAAGCAGAGATACCTAATTTCGCCAAGTTGCTTGAACGACAGCCCGACAATAGTAGGAGGGCGTGAGACACGGTGAAGCGCCCACACCCGTCGACACCGCACATGTCAGCGATCAGCTCCGTCTTCGTGCGACCCCGCAGGGCAATGTCCGCGGGCGTATAACCCGGCGTCACTCCCCCAGCCTCCTGCACAGCTTGATACTGGAAGTCTGTCGAAAAAACCGGAAACTGAGCGTTACGAAGCTTGTGTGACAAATCGACCCTGCGGACCCCTGGGTTCATATCTGATGCTACCACCCATTCAAAAGAGTGCATGGCGAAGAAGACTGCCCACGCCGCTTTGTGATATGGGGGCCTGGACTCAAGCAACTCTTGGCGAAAGGTAAAATTGCCAGGGCGAGCCAACTCCTCACGAGGCAAGTTAAAGCACAGAGCTGCCCGCTCGAGAAACTGATGGTACGTCATGGCAATTGATGGGAGGCCAAACCCAGAAAGCCCAATCCCTCCCCAAGTAATCTCGTCATGAGCCCACTCTGCCGGAATGCGAAGTGTCGCACGGGCCGCGTACAAGCGTAACAAGAAAAGGCGGAACTTCACGCCATTCGTCACACGAAGGGCGAACTGCTCTAGGGTACGTGGCCGGACGGGGCCCTGCAAGCGGGAGCGAGAACGCTCGCGCACCATGCCACCTCGCGCCGGCGCGGGATGGGCCCTGGGCCAAAACACGACGGAAGTGCACTGACATAGAAAGGGCCCGATTGTCGATGAACTCACATACAGGCTGTCTCGGATGCTGCTGGCAAACCCCAGAATACCTTTAGAGCAGACGGGGGAACGATCCCTCCACCCCCCAGGCGACCAAGAAGAAATCTGGGTCGGATGCTCGTTCCTTTCTACCAGGTCTGCTGAGCCCGGGGACGCAGAGGGAGAAGGGGAGAGACGGAGCGCAAGAGGGAAGGAAGAGGATAGGGAGTCCAGCTGCGTGAATTCTGATCGGATGGAAGCGAAATGTGGATAGCCACAACAAGCAAAGGTAACATACGCGCGCATACGGACACAGAGCGTGACCTAGCGACACGCTGGTTTGCACACACACACACACCAGAACACAACGCGAGCTGCACGATGATAAAGCTGAGGGCCGCCAGATTTGCAAGACCGCGGCGCCGTTTTGCAAAACCGTCGCTTCTTACCTCTCATTGCAGGGCGTAAAGAAGGGGCAACCAAGGGGAAAGGCAAACCATCAGAGACGCGGGCGCCAACATGCAAAAACCGCGGGCCGACAGATTTGCAAGAGCATGGCGCCGTCTTGCAAAAACGGCGTTGGAAATTCACTTCGACGTCAAAGGGAGGGCGAGGGGCAGCAAGGGACACAGAGGCGAGAGGAGGAAAACCAAGTAGAAAGAACTTAGCAGCAGAGCTCAAGACGATGCATTCTGCTGGACAACGCCGAGCGCCAGTGGTCAGCCTCCCCTGCAGCGAAAGAGGCAAGCGCAAAGAGAAGAGAAGGGCCAGCCCCCTCCCCAGCGTGCGCGCTGATGTGCGCCGCTGGACAGCGGTCCGCCCAAACAAAGGGGATCAATCAAGGCAGGTGGCAACATTGGCGATGGCGGCACTGGCGTCGGTGGCCGACATGGGCGGCGCGCCAACCCCCGCGCGCGGCCCCACAGCAGGGGCGCCCCACGACGACACGACGCAACCACATCCGGGCGGCGGCTTGATTTACTATTATTATTATTATTATTATTATTAATATTAGTATTATCTTTATTAATGTTGTTATTATGCGTATTATTAGTATGAATTGTTATCCTCATTATTATTATTAGTATTAATGTTCGTATTATAGCGATTAT